CCCCAAAACCCCAAAACCCCAAAACCCCAAAACCCCAAAAAATAAAACATCTAAAGAAAATAATCAAAAATGGAAAAACAAGGATTTGACAATTCATTTGACAACTTAGAAGAAGAGAAAGACGGATATGATTCAAGTGAAGTCCTTTGTTCTGAGAGGCCAGCCATTCTTCCTATTCGTAGCTCTCTTAGGAAATATAATACAAGGGAGAAATTTGCCTCACTTTCATGCAGCACTAGTCCAGTTAGATTAAACTCAGAAATAAAATACCAGACTTGTCAGCACCAGAAGCAAGGTCATGTAAGAAATTTATTTGAAATTTTGCTGGGCTAAGAAGTCATTGGGATTTGTTTGAACTAAGTTATAGCTTAAGGAAGATCCTGAACAGCTCAATACCAAGATACTTGTCGCCAACCCCTCACACAATACTTGATGCCTTGAAGGAAAGATAATTAGCCTACAGGGTTACATTAAGCACCTGAACAATGAGCTAGGAGTCAGAGATAGCCAGCTGAGGTAGGAATAGGGATCTTTACGGTGTAGAGCAATAGAACTGGAGAAGAACCAAGCTGAATTGGATAATAAGTTGTTGAGGGAGGTCAACCAGAAGTTGAAAATGAGCTTAATGCTGTTGCTTTAGAGCTGAATTCGTGAAATAGGAAGATATTAGAGCTTAATAGGAAATTTTGGGGCTACCAGATGAGGAATAAGGCTATGAAGAGGAAATACTTCAAGGCTTATGATAAGTTGCTTAAAGGTCCTAATAGAGACTATAAATAAACTATTTTGATTTTTTTATGAGAGAATTGAATCTCTCCTTGATTGTCCATTATCGTATGAAAAATTGACAGAACCTGTAATTTTGCCCTCAGGAATCACTATAAATCAAAATTTCTGTGAGAAACTTATCACAACAAACTGCTATGACCCTTATAATAGCACCCTAAAAATTAATTCAAGTAATCTCAAATCTTCACTCTCTAGTAATCATCAACAGATTTACTAAATCCGTAAAAGAAATATACGAAGACATTGGCCAAAAACACCTCCTACTCGAAAGAAACACCTTAACCAACGAAGCCTCTTGCCAGACCGCTCCTATCCCCAGCACCCACCTTCTCCCTCCCAAAATCGCTCTTCATTCTCACCCCCAAAACTTCCCCTCACCTTCCTGCTCGCTCTCACTCTCCCGGCCCACTACTCCTCCAGATCCCCAGACCTTCCTTCATAATTCCACCTCTCCATCCCACAGAACCCCACTCCTCAACCCCAGCCACCCCTGTTCAGTCACCCACACAGAAGAAAGCCCTTCCTTCAGCCCTGCCAAGGCAGCTAGGCTGCCTTCCATCGCTGCTGAAGCCAGCCAAGAGTTCTGTCACTACGATTAGAACAAAGGGATGTTTATTGGTTAAAGTGAGTATTATTTCTTTTTAGTGTAGTTTTAGGGGTTTTGGGGTTTTGGGGTTTTGGGGTTTTGGGGTTTTGGGG